GGTTCCGAGTGCCGGGGTACCATCCACAGAAGGAGAAGCGCGTGCAACCCATGGAGCTTACTACAGGTGACAGGGTAATCTCTTTTGCCTTCGGAAAGCCGAGCCGTCGACTGAGCTTGGGCTGGAGTTTTGCGGACTTTCAGCCGAACAAATACACACTCAACCTGATGCCCTGAATCCTGATCCCTATAGATAAAAAAGAGCCCCGAAGCCCCGAAAGCCACAACCAATGAGCTCCAAAGCTCTATAAACTCTGAGCCCCTAGACCCTGAACCCTAGACCCTAAACCCTGAACCCTGAACCTACAGACCCTGAACCAGAACCCCCTGAATCCTGAGCCCTGAACCCTAAAACCCAGACCCTAAACCCTAAACCCTAAACCCTAAACCCTAAACCCTAAACCCTAAACCCTAAACCCTAAACCCTAAACCCTAAACCCTAAACCCCAACCCCTCGTCCCCAAGCCTTAAACTCTAAACCCTCAAGCCCTAAGCTCACCCAAGGCGGCGTGTATGGCACCCACCATACGGGTGCCCGGACCCAACAGGCTCCTCAGATAAGGCGTTTTAGGGTTTAGGGTTTAGGGTTTAGGGTTTAGGGTTTAGGGTTTTTAAGGTTTCAGGTTTCGGGTTTGGTTTAGGCTTTAGGGTATAGGGTTTGGGGTTTAGGGCTACGGATGTGGGGCTTTCGGGTTGCAGTTTTCCGTAGGGTGCCAGGGTTGGAGATTTGTTGTTTTAAGACGGTTGAAGGAAGAAAAATCGGCTGCTTGGATGGAGGATTTGAAGTTGATGCGCATGTTGGATGTTGGGGTTTACGAATTGGTGGCCAAGCTATTATTAGGGCTTTATTCGGATTTGGTGGGGGTTTTATTACTAAAGTCTTTCAGAGCGACGTGAAATTGGGACCATGTCCTTAGAAGGAGATCCTGACCACAATAGGAACCCACCGTACGACTTGGAGCAGGGATTGGGGTGCACATGCACTAGGAGCCGGAACCATAAGCCTAACCCCCAAGGCAGGGATAGCAGACGGCATGGGGTTCGCAGGATTCGGTCATCTGTTACGGGTGTGGCACTTCACGAACTTCAGTAGAGTACGTTCGGATTGGGATCTATGTAGAACTGAACCGTCATGATCAACATCGCCACTATCTTATAATAAATTATCATCGTCATCCCTGAACCTTATAAAAGCCTCAAGCATGAGGCCGCAGAGGCCGTGGAAGACGCCGTGGTGGCTGCCGTGGATGCTTACCTCGAGGGCAGGCGAGTCGAGGGTTGGCAAAAGTCTCAGAGACTCCAATATCCCTTAATTAAGGAATATACCTTAAATCATATTAGAGATCCTACTAGAATTCAACCCTAAACCCTAAACCCTAAACCCTAAACCCAAGGTATATACCTTAAATCAGATTAGGGATCCTACTACGATTTAAAGTATATCCCTTAATTAAGGAATATACCTTAAATCAGATTAGGGATCCCTCGGGATTAACCTAGAAGCCTAAATGATTGCCACGATTATTCCTAAGCGTTCCCTTATGGTTCTTATTACCGCCCAGAACCCTGTTAAGGCCCTGGCCTTAGGTCGCAAGGTCTGCAACTTTGTTCGGCTTTTGGGATTTGGGGTTTTGGGCTCAGGTTTTGGCGATCCTTAGCGTCTAGAGTGTAGAGTCATGAGTTTGAGGGCTAGGGCAGCTGTCACGTTTCTTTGGTGAGTTCTGATAGCCCTCTGAAGTCACGCCGAGCCCTGAACCTGGGATAGTGCATCACGGCTGCGTTGCGGCTCCTTGCTACAGGTGATCACCAAGCCTCTGCAAGTTGTAAACCCCAACACAGGTGTCCCGGGTCAGCCCTCAGCTTAGCCTGCAAGCATGCGAGAATCCGAGTTTGCAGTAGAATCGCAACTTTGGAACTTCATGGCCTTGCTTTAATGTCCTAGCGAAGACGGATGCGAGACAGATTTCTTCGGTTTTCGGCGACAGAGTAAACAATTCCTTCCTTATGCACTGGCTCTTGCACCTGCGCTGGCTTTGCTCCTGGGCTTGCTCCTGGTTTTTTGCTCCTGCTCTTTCTCTTACTCTTGCTTGTGCTCTTGCTCTCGCTCTTGCTCTTGCTCCTGCTCTTTCTCTTACTCTTGCTTTGGCTCTTGCTCACGCTCTTGCTCTTGCTTCTGCTCCCCCTCCAGCACTTGCTCCTGCTCTTGCACTTGTTCTGCCCCTGCTCCTGCTCCCGAACCCCCCGATTGCAAATTGGGTTTGAAAACGCTGAGATGACGTCATTGAGGTTTTCCGAAACGTACTTTCGCTATTCGGGAGTTTTTTTGAACAAGCGATGGAAGGGCTCTTCCTCCAGGTTCCCCTAAAGCTCCAGCCTAAACCACCAAGACCCCGGGTCTAAATGTTTCGGCTCCGTGACAGGGATGCCATACTATATTGGGGACCCAAAAATTAGGAACCCAACAACGACATACGCATAAGCACATTATAGGGATATCCCTACCTTATTGGGCTTCAATATAAGGGGATCTATATGGGATATCCCTATCCTATGTTTTGCTTATGTGCTTTTTGGGGGCCCTCGAAAAGGGACCCTAATTGAGAGAACTACCCATATGGATCGCACAGGAAGTTGCTCGATATCGAAGCATTTCTTCGGACTTTGCCTAAACCCAAATCCCTAAACCCCTACACCCTACTTGGCGTCTAGTGAAGCGAAAACCCTCTCATCGTGCTAGGACCATTCCCGGGCGCCTAGCCTGAGGCATGCAAGTCTACAGATTATGCATACCCATAGGCCCCAAAGTAGTTCCATGTTGGGATTAATTATAGGATTCTATGAACCCCCAAAAAGGAACTACTTTAGGGCCTATGGGTATGTTGATATCCAAAGTCTGTAGATACAGATATGGACCCTAAAGCTAGCTCAAAAGCACAAATGCGTTTGACCACGACTATGAATATACTGGTACATATGTATATCTGTGTCTCTGTGTTTGTACTACATATGTACACATCTCAATGCATGTGCACATATCTGTACGCCGGGGCATGCGTGCAGCTATCTCTGTGTGTTTTCACGGAAGTCTAGGCGAGGATTGCTCGCATCCAAGCTCGCTGCCAGAACAGAACGGGACATGTTAAACCCCAAACCCTAAACCTTAAGCCCTAAGCCATCTTCAGCACCTGTCAATCCGAGCAGCAAGCGGACAAAGTCAGGAGCCATTTGCTTGCTTGGTGAAAATGGAGCGGTCTTCCTTAGTGCATTGCCTCAGGATACCTGATGAACATGCTAAAACATAGTACTGCATGTGATCTACTAATACTACAGTATATTGTAATATTCTACATACTGCAATATACTGCAGTATACTCTCACATACTGTGGTATACCTTCTGTATGACACATCTACTATACCATAAGAGACTGGGGGCCGGAAGAATTGCTACGGAGTCTCGGGTTATGGCTTGGGCTAAGTACGGATCTTGGAAGCTCTTGGGTTCAGGGCTCGATTTGGTTACAGGGTTTGGAGTTTAGGGCTACAGGGTTTAAGGGTTTAGGGCTATAGGGAGGTCCAGGGTTTGGAGTTTAGGGTATTCTGCAGATTCCGTATCATCGCTGTGTTCAGAGTCTAGGGTATATGTGTTCTTGAGGTATAGACAGCCCATAAGTTTCTCCTCCGAATTCCCCTGTAAAGGGTTCAGGGTTTAGGGTCCTGTATGAAGTCGCCTGTGCTTGATATTGCCACTCATGTGAAAGGGAGTTGCGATGCAGTGCAGAAAATGCCCAGCACAGACAGGATTTGGAACCGTATATGAAGCCGTATACTATGTTATCTGGGAATCGCTTTTCTTCTGTAATTTTAGGTAGGGGCCTTAATCATTAGAATAGGGTTTTGGGAAATTCCATATTGTAATTATACTATTGATATACTACCAAAACCCTATTCTCATTATTAAGGGTTGATATACTACCAAAACCCTATTCTCATTATTAAGGCCCCTACATTACATTGAAAAGGTTTCGTTGTTTGGGGTCGTGCTTCTTGTGTGGGCGAAAGGTCGCAGGTCAGGACACCCAGCTGATTTCGATTTCTTGGATATGGCGGTCGCCTCGAAGAACGGTTAACCTTGCTGTTAGTACCGCCTAGCTGGTGTCCCTGGTTTTTGCACTGATGTTAACCATAGGTGATATGGAGGTTTGAAGGTTTAGTGATAGTCACTACAAGCATTCCTTAGTAAGTGTTCGACACGTAATCTTCTGACTAAGCGCTCTTCTAATTCAAGACCACACTTTTTCTGTGGAGATTCTGCCGTGTCCGGAACTCCAGGGGGAGCAAGGCAGACGGGCAATCTTTTAAGTAGACGCTCTTCTACATGAAGAAAACATCTTAGCTATATGGAGATCGTGCTGTGGCAGCTTAGACCCTTGGTTGTTCTAGTTTTTCATATCGCATGAACTGATAAAAACAACTCTCTACTATAGTTCGGGACTGCGGTGCAGGGTTGTCTGTCTGGGTCGGCGACGTTTTGGCGGGAGTTCATGCATGTCTACTGGGCCATGGGGGAGCGGTGGCCCAAGGACAAAGACACGCAGCTCGTTTGGTGACCTGAACAATGAGTGGTAGTCTTCTGCAGGGTTCCCTGATGCACTTGTTCAGTACAACTCTTCTCAAATGTTCACCTTTTGAAGACCGCTGTATGCCACGCAGCACTTCAGCCTTCGGTTCAAGCGGCTGGCAAGAGCCTTTATGTGCCACCAGTGCGGACCCTCGAACCCCTAAATGTACCCTTGTCATCACATGTATGCCAGGACCTGACATCATAGGTTCACCCTTGTGATTCTCACTCATGACTCTTCAATGTGTAGGTTTGGATCCCTGCCAGGTCGGAGTCTCGAACTTGGAGGTATAACTTGTCATGTTGAGGCTTCAGTGTCCAAGGTTTACTGTCGGTCTTTTGGGCTTGGTTCCATGGCCCTATAAACCCTAAACCCGAAAACATGGCGCTGTATCTGGGCTTCGACAGCTCCACCCAGAGCTTGAAGGCCACAGCAGTGCGAGCAGCGGACTTGCAGGCGCTTGCCCCGGATCTCGAAAGCTTTGGGCTTGCGTTGTTGTTTGCGGGCTTCAGCTCTAAACCCTCAACCCCAAACCCAAAACCTTGCAACCTGAAGCCCTACATAAACCCTGAGCCCTGAAACCCCAAACCCTACATAAACCCTAAACCCTAAATCTCAAACCCCGAACCCTAAACCCTAAACCCTAAACCCTAAACCCTAAACCCTAAATCTCAAACCCTGAACCCCGAATCCTGAACCCTGGTTATGCGATGCAGGCCTGCCCTGAAGATGAGATGGGCTCTCAATGGGGTTTAGGGTTTAGGGTTTAGGGTTTAGGGTTTAGGGTTTAGGGAAATTTTCTGTCTTCTAAAGCAAGACGAACTTCGCGGTTTAGGGTTCAAGGTTCAAGGGTTTAAGGTTTAGGGTTCAAGGTTTAGGGTTTATAGGGCTTAGGGCCCTGAGCCTTGAACTTTACGACTTTTCATGAACTCGGGCGTTAAATTAAGGGCTTAGGGTTGACGGCACGTTTCGGCAGATGTGCGGATTCCGAGCCTAAGGCCCGCTGAAGATGAGTTGAATCGGCGGTGTAGGATTGGTTGAGGGTTTAGGGTTTAGGGTTTAGGGTTTAGGGTTTAGGGTTTAGGGTCGAGGTGTGCTGGTAACATGCCCCTAGACTACATCTCCAGTCTGCGTGGCGCAGCAATTGTAACAGGAATGCACCCTGAGTAAGTTACGCACGGGTTGCCAAGGTCTTCAAGAGGTATGTCGTCAACTTCGACAGCGAGCTGCCGTGGCTTGAGCGCAGACCCTAAACGCTAAAGCCCTATAAACCCTAACTACCCTGGAAATTGCTCTAAACCCAAACCCTAACTACCCTGGAAATTACCCTAAACCCTAAAGCATTAAACCCTAACTACCCTGGAAATTACCTTAAACCCTTAACCCCTAAACCCTAAACCCTAAACCCCTAAACCCTAAACCCCTAAACCCTAAACCTCTAAACCCCTAAACCCCTAAGCCCTAATGCCCCAAACCTCTAAACCCCTAAACCCTAAACCCTAATGCCCTGGACTCTCGCTAAACCCCAGAAGTCTCTTCCCCGACTTCATCCTGCAGGCTGAATCATAAAACTCTGAGTTTAAGCCTGCTTTACAGGTTTAGGGTTTAGGGTTTAGGGTTTAGGTTAAGCCCTTGAAACCCAACTCCTAGAACTCTACTGTTGAAAGGCACACTCAAGCCACATGCAAGAGTGTTTTGGCCAAGATCGCAGTTTAAGCCTGCTTTACAGTTAAGCCCTTGAAACCCAAATCCTAGAATCCTAAACCCTAAACCCTAAATCCCAGACGGCTGAGGATTTAAGATTGGAGCCTTCTACGTTGGTGCTTAGGAGTATCTTCAGGATATGTGCAACTCTGCACAGGCAGGTTTGTTCCGGTTCAGTCCCTGCACCTTTAACCGTCTAGGGATTGAAGGTTTTGGCGGGCTTAAGGAATAGTTATGGTAGCACCTGCAGCAGCAGAACTTTTTGGTGGACAGAGCCGTCTGGCAGGGTTCCGAGAATTCGCATTTTGTTTCAAGAACTTCAAAGTATCAGGTTTTAGAAGACTCTTTTAATGGTTTCATGGCTTGCAACGATTGTTTCAGAACTTGTTCAATTGTTGCGGCAATTGCTTCGGAAATTGTTGAAATCTTACGACAATTGTTTCGAAAATTGTCAACACGTGCAGCGACTTACACCTCCACGTTCTCCATTTTAGATGGTGCTTTATACATTTTCACCTCCGGCTTCTTTATTTTAATCATAATTATTTTTATGTCGGCGAGACAAGCTAGTACTGGTGTGGTTTCTGCATCTATAAAACGTAAAATAAACGTGAATTAAAAGTCATCGACCCTAAAAAAACGTGAAAAGAAACGTAAAAAA